ATCTCGCAATTTTTCTGAGAAACGAAACTGCCCTAACTGTTGACAAAGATTCAAGAAGGGTTATCTCTCAGTATGCTCTGCTGGAAAAAATTGTGCAGCAATTGCGAAAGTACGGGCTTTTTTTGCAAAATACTGAAGAAGTGGAGGATGATCGCAGGTTCAAGCAAACATCGTCAAATAAACCTATACTGATAACGAAACCGATCATCACAGCAAAACCTCCCTGAGAAATTTATTTTGTTGTTACGATTTCAGAAAGTTAGCATTTGACAAGGCAACTCAAATTAAAACTATACGATTCAAAATCGGAAACGGAATAAGACAGTGTTTTTAAACAAAAGCCAAGAAAAAAGAAACCTCTGAACAAACCTTACAAAATTGAATTTCAACTCTAGTCAGGAAGTCAACCCAGTGTCTGTTATGAAAAAAAACTTACTCTATGATTTGAAAGTGGATACCATTTTTGAAAATTGATTCAGTAGACTTATTCACAAGATGTGCCTGCCAATGTTTTGGCAGCACCATCAATGTGATTGGAAGATACGTTCAAATCGATGGCGAGCAAGTAATTAGAGGTTTTTCCTAACTGGAAGCGCACGGAAAAACCTCTTAAGAAACGCTACCTTGTCTAATCTAGTTATAAAACTATCACAATTTCCGGATCTATCCTCTGGTCACTACAGCGAGGTTTGCCGATTTGAATTCATTAGCATTACTGACTTTTATGTGAAACAAATTGAAACAGGAGATCTCCCAGTCAAAGCACCAAGAATCCACAAGGTGAGATTAGAGAAGTTAAAATTTTGAGACATGTCTCTTCAAATGGCTGGTTTTGTTTGATAATCGACTCATGACAATACAAAATGATAGAAATTTAAATCTGAAAAGGATCAAAAAAGCAATAAATGAGAATTGTTAACATTACATTGTTCATTTTGGAATTTTTTTTTTAAAGTTATCCTGATTTGAATGTCGATTGTTTGTTTTTACGGACGACTGGTAGTGCCTGCTGTCTAAGAGCTCCAATGCGCAAAATATCATAAAGCTCACCATGGTCAGTTTGTCATAAAAAATCTAGCCCTCTACTATATGTGGCTGCTAAAAATCTAAGAAATTAAAACCACTAGTGCATTCGTCAGATAACCCAAAGTTACCTTGACTCCATGGAAATATTACCTATCGTTGGGGGTTATGTTCTCATACGCATCGATCGTTTGTCTTTTTTCCGCTAGCTCAGGTTACTTCTAGCACTTTGGCAAAAACAACAAAAAGTTTCACTACAAAATTATATATCATGCCATTCCAAAAAACATCTGAACGGACCACGGATGAGGTAATTTAATTATGGCTAAAAAGGTAAAAAGAGTTATGCCATGAAAAAAACAACCTCATAAATTTACGGTCATGAATTACTTCATGAATTATCCACGAGAGCACCATGGGGGAAGAGGACTAGTTGAAGTTAAAGTGCCGTAGAAGAAATGGTTGGGATGCTCCTGATATTATCGCAGATGCGATATTGGATGAAACTGAAACATTATCGGATGAAATTACCAATGCCACGAAATAAATACCGACTAGTGCTGGCTCACTGATGAAATTCCTCGAGAAATCAGAAAAACGCGTGGCCCTAGGATTCCATAAGCCGCTAAACGACTTGCCCGGAAAGACAATTATATCTACCAAAGTGCAAGATCGAAAAAAAACTGACAGAAATGCTTACAAACGCAAAAAACATATCTAAATCAGATCTAGCCATCAAGGTTTTCCAACAAGAACTCAGCTCAAAGAAAAACGAACAGTTGGTAAACTTTACGCTACGAAAAGCCCCTGAACTTCCCCTAAAAAAGTAGGCTTCAAGAGTTTTCTACCGCGCTAAATCTTATTTAACAGGCAAGCTAATTTAACAGGCAAGCAAGAAACTGGGTATAACGAGGAGAAAAGCAGCTATGAACATCTCGATAGAGACATTTCTTAGAGAAGAAGAAAGAGAAGTCTGCCAGCCTTAGAAAACGAAAGTCACGGCTAAACGAAAGTCGATCAAAACGAAAGTCACGGCTAAACCAAAGACTGAGAACCTTAAAGCTCAGAACCCTCCAAGTACGAGATCAGACTTTGAATCCGATGAAAACTTTTTGAAACCTAACTTAAAAAGACTCAAGAATATCTCAGAACATCTACTCCTCAAGCAGCCCCGGAAAAGAAGGAAAAAAATCGTAATTAGAAAAGTTTAGCCCTATGATCATAATCAGAAGTCCAGATAAGAACACCACTTCTAATAGCACTGCAGAGCAACTTATCTCAACAACTACTGCAGAGCCAAAAGTATCTCACCTATCAGACTAGATGACAGAATTCAGCCCAAGAGCGATATCATTGTCACCCCTTCAACCATTTCATTGACCACAACAGATCCAAATGAGTTCGGGGTTCAAGACAACCAAACTCAACCTTCTGTAGATGACTGGCCAAAGACGCCATCCAATTTGGCTTTATTGAAATCATTAGGTGAAAACTGGCCTTAGGCACAGTAAAAACAAAAATTTCTTCCTCGGTACAGTCGTCACCACAAGCTAAACAACCAGCCTTCTGCCATAGATGAAAAATGTATGACTAGTCTTCTTCATAAGATTTCAAATCTCCAAACTGTTTTTTTAAGTTATTTCAAGTTACGTTATTGTTCGTTTTCAATCACAGTAAACATGGTTAATAGTAATCGACAATCAGAACGACAATCAAACGTTGCAGAGACTGCATTATGAGGTTATGCCAAGGAGTAAAACCTATCTTTGAAAAAAGTGTATATAATCAAATGGCCAGATAATAACAATCAGGTGCAAGAAATTGCAGCTAGTTTCTTTCAACGTTGTAAGCTTTAGTCGAATTTTTAGCAAATCTGGTCGCATAAAAGCAAACCTGGATATTTGAGTTAGTTTTTTTGAATGGTTATAGCTGGACTCTTTTGCGAGCATCATCGAAAATACTTGAGAGCTTGATCAATCCAAGACGCAAAGAAGACCTAAAGAAGACACACTTGCGAATTGCTCACAACTAGCTATTGTTAAGTTTTGCTGATTTTTTCTTGTCTTCATTTCGTCATTTTAATTCAACTCTATACTGTTAATGATAGTTAACGATAGTACTGTTAACTCTGTACTTATTCAAGATACTGTTAACGATTTTTGGTACAGTTAGAAAGATTTAATTGTAATTTAGTGGATCAAAGTAAATCGAAAGTTTCAAGTTTTTAAAACTTCCTTTTTTTCTGATTCCAATACGATTCAACATAGTAAGTGTGCACACTGGTTGAGGGTTCCACAAAATTTATTGAGTGATTCACAGTCCTGTGGCTAAGTCCTGCCCGGGAAATTGCGTTGTACGCTCTCCATTCGTCTGAATGTACAACCAACCCGGGCTCAACTGCGGCTAAAATAATTGGAAGTAGGGTATCAATACATCGGCGTTCCACTATTTCCATATAGCCGATTGCAGGGCGAATACTTGTGTCAAAAATAGCAAAAACCCATATTGGATTGTGGGGGACTCGACCACGGTGTTTTTTGGCTTGTGAGAAAAACAACTGTCGTCAATTTCTACAATATCTCGCGGTCCTCCAAGCCGAATAGGGTGTTTTTTCAGCCGTTCGGCACAAATTTTTCGAAAACATGCAAAGGCATTCGTAATCGTCTTGTCGTTGAGGCCAGTTTGTATTTTCACTTGCTTGTTGGATGTCTGTATGGACCAGAGATAAATAATATGCAACCATTCAGGCAAAGATAAGTTGGAATTTTCAAAAAAAAAACAGAAAAACAGAAAATCAACCTAAAGCGTGAACCGACATAACTTGTCGTCCAATTTGAGAAAGCATCGATCAACAAATTTCAGCAAAACTTTAAGGGAGGTCCTGGAAATAATTACTTTGTTGAGTTTTGCCAAACCCAGTTGACGCGACACTCGGGAGCTTGGATTAGCGCCAGTTGATCGGCTAGATAAAAAGACCCGGCTTTTGATGTCATTCGTTTGCTCTTGCATGTCTATTTGAGCTGTATAACGAAGTCGATTCTTTCATCTATGCAAAAACAAAATGCGGCAAGTTTTTACTACGGGCTAATTTTCGACCTTCCACGTAGGAAAAGGTGCGCTCACCATCCAAACCTTGATACATATACTTGGATAAAAAAAGCTTTCGAAGATCAAATTTTCCGGTTTGTTGCTTCAGAAGTTGCCATCAAAGTGGCAGAGCACCAGCAAATCAAAGCCAATAATATGATAGTTTAAAAGGCTCAAACATTGTAAAAACAATTTTATTCTGAAGTAACCTGTGGGGTTTCTTCTTTAACCTGAAGCAACGTCCATCAGTTTTGCTTTGTTTTTATCGTTCACCTTTTATCTCACTTACTGTCGGCTGAAACAAAACATCGCAAATTGCAAAGAGTCATTTTTCGAAACGCAACGAATCGTTGCTTGCGATGATTTGTGGCTACTCCCCCTGTCTCTTCTTTTGGCATTTGATATCTTCACTATCCAGATCGTTTTAAGGTGGTGTTTCTATGATGCACCAACAGTAAGTTCTCCTTTCGGTTCATTTGGTGCCATTTTCATAAACATCGCAAAAAATGGCAGAAAATTGCTTTTGGGACATTTCATGAGAAAAACTTTTTCCTCTCTTGGTTTCTCGGCCGTGTTTGGTAACTTGTGATCGATCTTATTATTCTAGACAATCATTTGACGCAGAGCTAAACATTTATAGTCTTGTGCCAAAAAACTGGACCAAAATTAGTCAATGAAAAGTCTGGGGAAAAAATGAAAAAAATATGCTCGCAAATGGTAGTTTCATAAAACACACCCTTTTCCACGCTAAAAAAATTACTAGAGTCTGTTCCGCTCAAAAATCTGTTTGGCAATGGGCTGACCGACCTGAGACCGCCTGCAAAACGATCTTAAGACTTACGCGTACCATAGTGTCTAATCTCTAATAATCTAGCCTCGATCTTAAACGTGCCATAATTGTCTAGCCATATTACCATATTTGATGCATTGTGATAATAATACATTGTACAGCTGTTCATTTCGAAAAAGTTACCTACAGTATTGTAAATTGACAAAAATTTGATTTTGCTGAATGGAAAGTATTGGATTTTATCTTATGTTGGTTCTTAAAGACGATATTAGAACTAAATCTCCCTATAATTGATTAGCCATTTATTCAAATCCAAACACAAAATGCGAGTTATCAAATAATCCTGACTTAATTGAGCGCAGAGCAGTCAGTCTGAACGACGAAAACTTTTTGAGTTCACAAGTTTGTGACAAAGTAGCTTCAATACGGCTCATATAATTATGAGTTCAGTTGACATGTAATATACACGATCACTCGATGGCTCTTACCAGCAAATAGACGTGAAATCAGTTCCTCCAATACCAACTTTCTCACGTTTTCACTAAAATCATCAATAGGGTTTGAAAGTTTTGAAATTTGAATTTTATTAAAAATGAACCCAACTACTACCAGTTCGATATGCCGAAAAAATTTCCTTCTATTAGCCTTTATTTTCCTCAGATTTTCATCAATGGTACCGATTGAAGCCGCAAATATTCCATCTTTAGAAACCACGGGATCCCAAAAAAATTTAAAGAGGCCTTTTGAGGAGGTTAATGAAGTAGACAAGTCGGCGGCTTCGATTTCCAGCATCGAAATACCAAGAGAAGCGGGGAAAGAAAAGAACGCCAATAAAAAGATGAGTCACCCTTTGTTGCCGAAAAAGCGTCTGGAGGTGGCCGAGGGCGAAGAAGCTAAGACAGATACTGCTGTTGATAGTGACCCACGCAGATCTACAAGCTATACACATGCCTTCCAGTCAAAACAGTAAGTTTAAAGCATTTTGAGCTCTAAATGAGAGCAGATACCTGCGGAGGGGCGGAAATGGTGGGGGGGGGGATGGTGTTGGTGGTGGTTGCCCGGGTCGAGATCCCGCTCAAAAACCGCTCAAGATATGAGCGGTTTGAGCGGTTTTCCAGCAAGGTTTGAGCGGTTTTTTTTGGAAAAACCGCTCATTTCTTGCCGTGATTTTTGAACGGTTTTTCAAGCAAGATTTGAGCGGTTTTTAAGCGGTTTTTGAGCGGTCTTATAAAGAAAACTGATTAAAACCATCAAAAAGGCCTGGAAAGGTAATGTGACGGTAAGATGCAGTTGAAATACTATCTACAACCCGGGTTGACCTCCATGGTCTTTGAAAGAAAAATTACACATCAAATCACCCTTTCCCTAGCCTTGAATTCAGAAGAGTTGTTGACAAAACCGTTTTTTAAAAATTTTGTCGAACTTTTTATAAGTCTCATTTTAAAGTTTTCAAGCTTTAACAAAAACCCAGATTTGACTACAATCAGCAAAATCTTTACTTTTAGGGCTGGTCAATCAAAAGTGGCTATCGTAAAATAGTACAAAAGGGAGGAACCTTTGAGAAATTTTAGCCAGCCGCCTCCCCTGAATTTGACCATTATTGTTTTTGCTTTAGGTTGTGGAAGAAACCTCTCATCATGCTCAGTGTATTGTTAGCCTTGGTTATTCTTCTAGTGGTATATGTGACACTCTCTCGTCCATACTAGCGATGAAGCATCTTGTCAACTGTACCAACAACTTGCAACATGGCATCTGACAAAACCAACTTGTTCCTTTTGTAATTGAAGTTTGTAGTATATTGCTGTTTTGTAGTACCGTTTGTAGTTGCAACCAAAACTGTAGTTCATTTAATCATGTTATCATTATTTGGTCAATAACTTTTTTTGATTTTGTTTTATTTATGAACTTATTTTTTGTTCCAACTTTCGAAGAAAGCGAGGAATTTAAATCCTAGAGTTAATTTGTTTTTACTCAGACCAATTAAAAAACAGTTTGCAGCTTGTGCTCCGGTCCTAGATTTTTTTAGATTCCCAGGTGGAACTATTTGCACTAGCCTAATTGCACTGAGGCAAAACAAAATGGCAGTATCGAATCCTTATACGACTCAAATTTTAGCAAATTGATATATTGACAATCTTTAAACTTAAAAGTGTTTCTCAAAGTGTTTTGACTGAAAACTACCCGGGATGACTAAAAACGCTATTCATGTAGTTCTCAATTATGCTATATACATTTTATACTTCTATAAAGTAGCATGAAAACTTTATGGCAATAGTGAGGTATGAACTTTCGCCTTTACTCATAGAATAATTTCAGATAAGGTACACCGTCTGTTCGTCACGCTATCTTATTTTCGGCCAGATAGATTCGTGCAACTACTTAGTCTAATACCAATCTTAATCTCACTCTTATATCTCCCAGTCTCAATAGATCTAGTGTATACTGGTTTTCGCGAGTTAGTTCTTGGAGTTTATCCAGAAGATGAACAACTGTATTCTAAGATTTGTTCATATTGTTCTGGTGCTGAAACTACAAGTAGGTTCAGCACTTACAAATAATTGTCAATGTTAGAGTTGGAATATGATTGGTTAGTTAGTAATATTTTATAAAGATAGTTTTATCAATAATATAATTGGTTTAAAAATACTATTTTATAACTGGTTCCACCCATCCGGGGCCTAGAGAGTTTTTAGTTTTTAATTGTTTATTGTAGTGAAGGATAGGTGATGTAGTTTTTTTTTTGAAGTTGTGAGCAGTGGCTTCTTGGAGAGAGGAGAGATGTAGTTCTTTGTGTAGATGGAAGTTTTGTTCGTGTTTCAAGTTGGGTCTCATTGATCGTGGGTAGTCTTAGGTGGTTGTGTCAAGACTTCTGATCGATGCAATGATGTATCGATTTCATTAAGTTTAGAGCGAGACTACGTGCAGGGTGAAGTATGAGTTTTCCGTGTGAAGTTCCAAGTGACTAGGATTGGTATGTGAGATCAACACCGAGATGGCCATTGGTCTGGTTCAATGGGTTTCATTTACTCTGATGCTGAATCCATACTTAAAATTTTTTGAGATATGATCAAAGATTTAACGTTTTATTCTTATTTCAGGAGTTTCTTGTTTACAAGGGTTATTTTCTTTTTCATTTAAATTTACAAATAAGCTTTGACAAAATTGTACTTGTCGTCGGGCGGGATCACTTTGTGGTTGTATGAAAAATGAAAGTATTGAGCTATCGTCAAAATTTTCAATGTACTCTTTCGTTCTTCGTTTTGTAGAAATTTTAATGTGTAATTTTCAACATGTCTTATTGGTTGATTCCATTTATATAGGGTTATTGGTTTGTTAATTTTTTTTTGATCTGCGTTTTCCTTTAATTAATGATGATGTTGTAGCTTCTGATCCAGAGAATTATATTTGGTCTTCTATCGGTATATTCTTATTTACTGAACATTTCAAATCTTTAAGTTCCTGTATTGTGTTTGTTTCTGATTCTGAGACTGCGTTCCGTCTTTTTGAATATCTTCTTTTGATAATATTCTTTTGCTATGTTATAATTGTCTTTTTTCATGTTTGTCTTTTTGGTCTAATATATCCTATTATTTGTCTGAGCGGTGTGATTACAAAATCGTATCTTTCGTTTTCTATTAATTATTTATGTCATATGATTGTTGGTTTACTGCCTAGATTATCTATTGACAAAAGGTTTAGGATGATGAGTGCAATACTTGGGGCGTTAGAATTTTTATTTTCCTAAACTGTTAGTTCTTATGGTTTTTATGTGGTTATCTTAAGTTGGTGCATAGATTGTCATGATTGACCTGTTGGAGAGAGAGTATAACAATTCGTGAGACTGATTCTTTACTTTCTCGTGACTAGGTTTTAATTTATGATTGACTTACTTAATCTCACCTAGGCGTTGTGATTTGTGATCAAGGGTTGGAGAAAAATAAATCAATCCACAAGGTTCAGCTATAATTAGAACACAGGTAGATCGTTAGATACTATTTTATGACTTACTAATTATTTAGGGTTTTAGCCTGGGTCATCCAGAAGGAAGGGTTCAAGTGAAGGATGATTAACCGAAGTTCTTCACTGTCTATCTTAATTAAAATGGTTAGTTTTTCAAAAATTTCTATTAGTCCCGGGTCGTTTATAAGGGTTGGAGAGTGAATTGACGTTTGAAGTCGTTAGACACTTTTAAAATTTTGCGGTCCGGAGAACAAAATTGTTCTGATTTGATTCAAGGGAAACCTTGATGATCAGAAATTAAATTTAAAAAAAATTAGTTTTAAATGGAATTAAAAATCCAAGGAAAGCATTGATAATCGGTTTATGAAATAAAAGTGAATTATGGAATTATGGATTTTAGTTTAAGAAGATTTAAAAGTTAATGCTTGGATGATATTAGTTTTTTTGAATTTATACTGTAATGTTTTAGGTGACGAGGCTGGGATGAAAAAAAGATAATGTGTGTTAATTCATAAAACTAACAATGAAAAAGAATTCTAATACTAACTAATTTTTGTATTTTTTATTCAATAAATTATTTATACAACAGTTTTCATTTACTGCAGATTTTGGGGGGAACGACATGTGTTCTTTTTATCAGCCGTTATTGTTTATATAGTAGGTTTAGCAGCAAATGAATTGTTGAAGAATTATTCTTCAAATAATTTTCATGTCAATAGAAGAAAATCTAAATTGGCTGCATAAAGTCTTCTAAATACAAAAATTTGTTCCGGTTTCCGTCGTAATATTATGTAGCAGATTGGATCTTGATCTTGGTCTTCTTGCAGTACCTGGTATTTCTTGTATTGTTTGGAAAATTGGCGTAGATTTATTGAGACGTAGAGACATTTCTATTGAATTGTCTATTCCATCTAACATTTTAGCAATTTTGCAATTGTCTAATTCTAATATATTTAAGGTCTTGTTCGAGACTTATGGTCGCATCAGATGAGTTATGACCTTTGGCCGTCTGTTCGTCACGCTATCTTATTTTCGGCCTGTTAGATTCGTGCGACTTCTTAGTCTAATACCAATATTAATCTTACTCTTATATCTCCTAGTCTCAATGGATCTAGTGTACACTGGTTTTCGCGAGTTAGTTCTGGGATTTTATCCAGAAGGAGAACAACTGTATTCTAAGATTTATTCAAATTGTTCTGGTGCTGAGACTACAAGTAGTTTCAGCACTTACAAATAAGTGTCAATGTTAAAGATGGAATATGATTGGTTAGTTACTTATATTTTATAGAGATAGTTTTATCAATAATATAGTTGGTTTATAAATACTAGTTTAGAACTGGTTCCAATAGCTTGAATATCAATCTGCCATAAATAAAAATTGCATGACTAGCCTTCTTCATACATTTTCAGATCTGTATGTACAAAACTTTATCGAGTTTACATTGGATCATCTCTTAAATCAGTTGCATAAGAGGAAACTTTTCAATTTTTTCACTAAAAAATAAGAACTATTTTAAGCTGGGAAATTAAACTAAAATCACCTCGACCAGTCAAATTTCTTGGCATGCAGTGTGAAAAATGTTGATTTTGGCTGTTTGAGGCTTGTTTGAGACAATTTTCAATGACTTTCTTCTGAAAGTCTTTTTATTCGTCAAGCAAGGCGATTATAGCAAGAAAAACTGTAATATATAAAAAAAACTCGATTCTCAGATTATTTCCACCACGCAATACCATCAACCAATATCATCAAGAAAAATTTTTTGATAGAGTTAATTAACTTCTAGCGATGAAATAGCAATTAACTACATAACACCCGAATTAGAAAACGAAGTAAAATTTTCAAGTAAATTTGAAAAGATATCGATTTGGTATTTGTTTGGGAAACTAACCAATCATGACTGTTTCTTATATGGTCATTTTTGCAGGACTTTACTGCTTGGACTCGAGTTTTTTTATTCTCAGTGATTTTTTTGCACGAAGTGAATAAACGTGAAAAAAAAGGTTGATGAGCACAAACCAATTTTAATTCGAATGCTCTGCGTCAGCTCTCTGTTGAATATTTTGTATCGCGTCATCCGTTCTTTGTATTTTCGAAGGGTTTTCACAATGAGTGATGAAACTGTCGAGCTCACGGTCATGGTTCACAATTCCAAATGAATCACCATAGTCCACATAATCAATCAATGTGGAATTGTCCAAATCTTCTCAAAGTGATAGAAATGAGCAGTGAGACCTATTTCATAGTAAAAGTTCTGGGCGCTAGACCATAGGACAACTATAGTCATCGACGTTCAAAACTCTGTTAAAGTTTTCGTACGTCCAGGCAACGGTATGGCCAGGCAAAAAAAAAGCAACAGTTTCTGTGGTCCGGACCCGAATCGTGCAAAAGAAAATTTTATCCCTTGAAGGACACCTCGAAATTGCTTTACATAACTGTATTTTTGTGTTGAGCTGTTAAATCAATATTTGTTGTTGAGCTGCTTGTTCAAGTGATCTGACTTGTATTTGATCCGATTTACAACGGTGTTCATGACAACTTCCCTGCGTGATGAATGTTAAGGGGCCCGTTTGGACTTGAGTGAACTGAACTTTCTATTTGATAACTTTTTTAAAACCACAGAAAGAAAAGTGAAAATTTTATTGGGAAATATCTTTCTATCACTGTAGAGAAAATTCCCAGTTTTCAAAAATTATTTCTTTTTTCAAATCCAAATTTCTTTCAACGTTTTTTTTTAGCAAACTAGCCATTTTGGTCTGTTAAAAGTGACTGACAAGACTTCACAGCATCACTAGCTAGCTGTTTGATTTTGCTTGTGTTTGTTGGTGCTGAAAATTTACCGCAAAAAATCCTGTTTCCCGCATTAACTTGTTATTTTGGCAGAGAAATTTGATACAGCAGAAGTTTGGAAATATGAAACAAAAAAATTCAAATCAAAGTTTTTTGCTGCTACTGTTTGTTG